ATAGTCTCTGCTTCCCTTTGAAGCTTCACAAGCCAGGCCTCCATTGTCTACTCTTTATTATACTCTTTCAGCATAACTGTTCCAAGCTCCACAGCAACAAACTCTGAGCACCCAATGGCTTTTCCAGCCCAAAGTTCCAAACACTTCCACAGTCCTCCCCAAAACAACTTGGTCAGGTCTGTCACAGCAATACCTCACTTCTGGTACCAATTTCTGTCCTAGTCTGTCTCTCCATTGCTGTGACAAAATACTCTGACCAATACCAACTTAAGGAGGAAAGGGTTTATTTATCTTACATCTCCCAGGTCACAATTCATCAAGGTAGGAACTCCGGGTAGGAATCTGGAGGCAGGAGCTGGAGCACAGGCCATGGAGGAACACTGCTTACTGGCTTGCTCCCTGGCCCCTGTTCAGCCTGCTTTCTTATATAACACAGGCCCACCTTCCCAGGATTGGCACCATTCACAGTGGGCTGGGCTTTCCCACATCACTCAACAATCAAGAAGATGCCCCATGGACATGGCCACAGGCCAGTCCAATGAAGGAAATTCCCCAGTTGAAGCTCCCTCAACCCAGGTGAGTCAAGTTGACACTAAAGCTATCCAGCACATTGCCTAACATGTAAAAGGCCACGAACTCTGTCCTTAGTACCACAAAATATGAAATGGAAAAAAAATATAGTGCTAATTCAATGTAGAATCATTTGGAATAGTGTTATTTTTGTAACATTATCAATGCATAGCAATAAATTACACCGTACTTGCATGTTCACTGCAGAGATGACACAAGCATTGAAATAATTATTGTCACCAGGCATGGTGGCCCATGCATTTTAATCCCAGCACAGAGGTAGGTGGGTCTCTGTAGGATGGAGGTAGCCTGAGGTACATAGTGAGTTGGAGACTCTGCCTCAGTATAAACAAACAAACAATAATCATCACCACAGACTCTGTTTCTCATCGTATCTTCTCACAAGACGTTCAGAATCAAAGGATTCCTGGCCAAGAAACAAACTTGTCCCATTCCCCAGTGGATTTGATGACCGATAACAAATCAGGTACAACTGCTAGAGAAGACAATGATGGACAGCCAAACTGAGTAAGGATTCACATACCATGGCACCACTGTTCGTGCTTAATCAAGATCACTGTCACCCTACCATATAGAACTTAAAGTTTTCACCTCTGGAGATTTGGGCATGCTTGCTTTTTATCTGCTCTACATCGGGGAGCTAGTTGGTTCGGTAATATGTAGAAACTTTTAAAAATCAGTCAAGAATATATCATATACATTGAGCTATAATAGTAAACAAATGGGCAAAGAAGGCTAACATTATATCTATTTTATAGTTATACAGCATTTAGGGATTAAAGTAGACGGAATCAGAAGTTTACACGGGAAGTGCCACCTGTTTAAAAGGCAGGAGTTTTGCCCTTTTTTCAATTTAATTTTTCTTCATTTTGGACTCCAATAGCTCTGTGCGACAACAATGCATGCATTTAAGAAAAAAATCTGTCATCGAATGTTATCTTGATTTGATCCTGAGGGCAGTTAAGGTCAGTTTATCCTTCCTTAATTGAATAAGACTTAAGGCGCTTCAATTTATCAATGTATATGAATTTGGGATATCCACAGAATTGTTTTTGCCAAATACAAATATAACAAACATTAGTGTAAATCGTGGTACTCCAAACACACCCACTGCAGTGTGAACTGAAAAATGGCTAAAAACAATGGCAAAGACACACTACTTGTCACACGTCAGTCTTTTTCTGGCCTCGGCTGCCCCTTACTTTCACTGGAAGGAGATGGTTCCAGAGTCCCAGGCAAGGAGACAAGTTCTGTCACCTAGGAGTCTGGAACTGCTCACTGTGAGCGAAGTTTCCCAGGCCCTTTGAATGGGAACCACAGCACTTGACTTCCCAGTTGCTATGTTTAGTTGCTAAGGCACCAACCATCGCACAGGAAGAGCGGGCGGTGCACCACTTTTTGGCGCCTCAGGAAATCTTCTTAAGGTCAAACACATTGGTTCCGGAGAGCCCTCAGATCCTCTAAGAGCGACCGGAAGGCGAGGGGAAAGGGGAGTGACGCCTCTACGCGCGGAGGATTGTGGGAGCAGGCTGTCTCCAATTTCTCCTCCCCCTCCCCCTCCGGCCAAGATGTCTGACATGGAGGATGATTTCATGTGCGATGATGAGGAGGACTACGACCTGGTGAGGCCGGAGAGCAGGCCCCGGGATGGGAGGTGGGGAGCGGCCGTCCGGGCCGAGGCCGAGCGGCCGCAGCCTTCCTCGCGAGCGTCCGCAGCGTTGCGGGCTGCGGTGACGGGACTCTCCCCGCGGCCCGCCGGGCTCCGGGGCCTGGGGACGGAGGGGAGGCTGCAGGGTCCCGCCCAGGCCCAGCACCCCAGGGCAGCGCTGACGCCCCCGCCGCCGTTAGGTCCGGCTCCTCGACCTCCATCCGTGGCGCGATGCTGAGGCCCAGGTACCGGCTTGCCCGGGTCGGTCCCAGACTTCGGGGCCCCTAGCCTTCGGAGCTGTGCCGGTCCTAGATGCTGAGACGGTAGTCGGAAAACTAGGGATCGGTCCTCCTCTCAGGCCTGACCGCGAACCGCTAGTCTCCCCAAGGCAGCGCAGTGCCTCGTCCAGGGTCAGTTGGGGTCTCAGGTAAGGGTGCAGGGCAGAGTTCAGAGCAAGACTAGATGAGGAAAATGTCAACTACTTGTTCAGGTCTCTGAATAAAGAGAAACAAGCTGGGAGAGAGGGTTTGTTTTTTGTTATTGTTGGGTTGGGGAGGGGTCAGGGATTAAGGGAATCGAACCAGTGGCTTTTCCCTTAATTTAAGAAATTTCCCAGAACCAGTGCTTGAATCATCAACAGCATAAGTAAATTTGCTTGCTTAATTTGATGATGTTTTTTTTTTTAATTTAAGGTTTAATTTGTGAGTGATACTAAAACACACACAAACGCACACACGCACCTCTATGGGAACTAAAAAAAATGATCTTGACCAAAATTATGCCTCATCTTTGTTTTTTTGTGGAGCGTTTTGTTTGGTTCTTGTATATTATGGTGGTGTTACATTTTGGTAAAGTTGAGTAGATGCTTTGAGACATCTAGTTCATCTTTTAAGGGTCACATTCTCAAGATATTAATATATTGTTATGAATTACTATATAGCTTTTTTGTATAGGTGAATCCATAATTCATTTCTTCTGGTGTGTGTGCACATGCCACAGTTGGTATTTAGGGTTTTTGAGGTTTTTTCCCTTCGTTTTACAAGAAGGCAAATTTCACAAAAAGAAGATGGAGATTCTCGGTATTACTCAAGTCATAATAAAGGTTTTGGTAATTCTTGAAGCTAAATGTGAAATTTTCTAGTATAGGTTTGTACAAACCAAGGCGGTTAATTGTAGAATGATCCCCTCATACTTTAAGAATATGTTATTTGTGATAACTGAACTTTTTTTTAGTTTCTAGGAATGGTAGTTTTTAGTTTTAAAAATATTTATTATTTTTATTTTATGTGTATGTGTGTATTGCCTGCATGTATGTGAGTGCACCCGTGTTGTGCAGTGCCACAGAGGTCAGAAAAGAGCTTCGGATTCCCCTGGAACTGGAGTTAAGGACGGTTTGTAGCTATCATGTGGCTGCTGGGAATCGAACCCAGGTCCTCTGCAAGAGCGGTCAGTGCTCTTAACCACTGAGCCATCCCTCCAGCCCCTGACAAATAGTTTTTAAACTGTCAGTGTTTCTTCTAAATGTTTGTAACTGTAGTTTGTAGTGTTTTAAAATATTTTTACTCATTTTTCCCTAATAGTCTGTTGAGTACACGAATTATTAACTCTCTGATTAACTTGAGGATTGTCATTGAAAAAATGATGTAGAAATGACAATGAGAATCCTAATGAAATGCTCAACTAGTTTTTGCAAGAGTTTTCATTGGACATACAATGTTTGAGCTTGCTGTTTCCCCAGCTTTTCATGGCCTACACTACATGTTCAATATAATAAAGTTGAATGTGTAGTTGTCTTGACTTAAAAAAAAATCTTAGCAGTAAGATTTTACACTATTGTAAAATTAAGTGAAAGTGTTTTTTCTTATCCAAGCATTCTGTTAAATAGCTCTTTGCCCAATTTTCTTTCTTTTTTTTTTTTTTTACAAAAACTTTGAGAATTTCATAATGCATATAAGGTGTTTTGATCAAATCCATGTCTACTCCCTCCCCTCCAACATTCCCACCTGAAGAGGTAACCCTAAAATCTTTTAAGGATTAGATACACACTCTACTTTTGACATTTTTGGCCTTGGAACAGAGTATGTTGCTAACAGGCCCAAGGATATTTTGACTTTTAGCCAAAAAAATTGGCTACATTTCTTTGAGGTCTTTTTACCCTAACTACCTAGCCAATTCCTACCTCCTATTCTTATCACGCCATCCTCTGAAGGGGTTACCCAAATTGCCAATACCAATTTTCATATAGATATCATTCTCGATTCCCAATCATGTCAGTTAGTATAAGCTATTACACTCCTTTTACTAACAGTTAAAACTGTTGGTAGCATAACAGTCTCTTAGATAATTTTTTTTCTTTTTCTAGTCAATATCATTCAATCATAATATTTTAATATTTTATTTATTTATTTTTTTATGTGTACGAGTGTTTTGCCTGCATTAGATATAAGTGCACCTGTGTCATACAATGCTCCCAGAGGCCAGAAGAGGGAGTCGGATCCCCTGGAACTGGAGTTATGATAGATTGTTGTTAGCTGAACCACCATGTGGGTGCTGGGAATTGAACCCAGTTCCTCTGGAAGAACAGCACGAGCTCTTAACTGCTGAGCCATCTCTCCAGCCCTCCTTATATATATTTTAAAAGATTAAGGAGGATGGTTGCCATTTCACAGTTACTAGAGGTTTTGGGGTGTGCGTGTGTGTATATATATATTTATACACAAAATTTTTTCTAGGTCTTTGTTCATATTCAAGAAGTCTATAGAATTTATTGTCTTAAGGAATTTTCTATTTTTACTTTTTATTTTGAGACAAAGTCTGATTTGTCAGGCTGACCTTGAACTTGATCCTTTTGGTATAGCTGGGATGACAGGTCTGCACCACTAGGCCCAGCTAGATTTGATTTTTTAAATATCCTTATTGAAAATTGCTAATCACTTCATTTTATTTAAAATGTTAAGTAGGACTGGGTTGTAGCTCCATTGATAGAAAGCTGACTTAACATGGCAACAGCCTGGGGTTTGGTCCCCAGCATCACGTACACCAGGGTTGTTGGCACACTTCTGTAGTCCTGAGATTTGGGAGATAGAGAGGCAGAGGGACCACAAGTTCAAGCCATCCTTGACTACATGCTGAGTTCAAGGCGAGGCTTGACTACATGTTTCTGTTTCGATAAGTAAGTAAATAAAATGTTAGTAGCCCTATGAGTGTTTCTGACCACATGATACTCAGCATAATCTTTATCTGTTATTCATTGGGAAATTTTAATACCCTAAACCACATTTGGTATTTGCCCAATCTAGTAGAAATGATTAGGATGTTACCTGAAAAGTTAAAAATCTGTTTCCATAGTATTTTTATTCAAAAAAGTGAATAATGTGCCCAGTATTTAAAGGAAAGGAGAACAAATTGAAGGGGAAAAAAATGTAGAAGAAATTCAGTATACTTGGCCTCTTCATTCTACAGTGTGTGATTTTGATTAGAGGCAGAAGCAGGCACTTTCTAAGCATTGTAATCCATGTAGTGGTGAATACAGAGGTAAGAGATGGTACTAGTAAAAACTTTTTAGTCTAGTGCCATTCATTAAGTCAGTGATTGATAAGTTATTACAATTAGGCAATTTAGCCATTGTAACAAATTTACTTAGTACTTCTAATAATATTCTTTTTACATTTTAAAATTTTAATTGTATGGGTGGGTGCTTAGGCACTCAAGTGCCATGGTGCACATGTAGAGGTCAGAGGACAATGTGTAGAAGTCTGTTCTCCTTCCACTATGTGGGTCCCAGGAATCAAACTCAGGTCATCAGGCTTGGCAGCAAGCACCTTTATCCACTGAGCCATCTTCCTGGCTGTCATAATATTTGTTGAAAGACCTTAAGACAAACTGACTTCATTCCAAAAGTTTCTTCTTTAAAGTCCTGCTGTATAGTCAGAGAATTGTATATTTGAGTGTTTATGCATATTATAATTTATTTTTGAGACGGTCTCACAGTGTACCCTGGCTGGCCTGAAACTCACTATGTAGACCAGGTTGGCCTGGAACTCACAGACATTTGCCTGCCTCAGCCTCACCAGTACTGGGATTAACGACTTGCACCACCATACCCAGTGAGTGTAATTATTGTCCATAAAATAATCACTGTCCGGGGCTGGAGAGATTGCTCAGTGGTTAAGAACACTGGTTGTTCTTACAGAAGACCCGGATTCGAATCCCAGCACCCACATGGCAGCTAACAACTGTCTGTAACTCCAGTTCCAGGGTATCCAACAGTCTCTCTGTCCTCCGAGGGCATTGCATGACATGGGTGCACTTACCTACACGCAGGCAATACATGCATACACATAAAATTAAAAAATAATAAATAAAATATTTAAAAATAATAATCACTTTCCATAAAATAGAATATTTCACATGGTTAAGTATGTTACCAAGCTATAAGGCTCATTATAGCTGTAAGAAATATATAGCAGTTTTAATGCTCTGAAATTTTGCTTTTTGTGGGGAATGAATCTTAGCTGCAAGATATCACAGTCTCTTGCCACCACATAAATGTAAGTTATGCACACACATATGTGCAGAGACATCATTTCCCCTGTACTCTTAATTCCCCACCTGCCAGTTCCCATTACTTGCCCCCATAAGCAACCAAATAAACATCCTTATCCCCTCCATTTATTTAACTAGGATGTAGCATATGTATTATTCTTAATTCATCTTAGAGATGTAAAAAACTTAATTTCTTTTTTAAAGTATTTTTTACAGGCATGTATTTATTGTGGTGGGGGGCACATGCATACTATGCCATGCCTATGGAGGTCAAAAGACAGCTTTTGGGAGCCTGCTTTCTCCTACCATGGATTCTGTGGATCAAACTCAGGTTGTTGGGCTTGGCAACAAGCACCTTTACCACTGAGCCATCTCATTGGTCCACTATTCTTTTTACAGCTACATAGATTGTGTGAACGTACTATATTT